AAGCCACAACACGAGCAGCGTGGTGGATCTGGAGATGATGTCAAGACTCTTTGGGTTGGTGATCTTCTTCACTGGATGGATGAGACTTATCTCCATTCCTGCTTTTCTCACTCCGGCGAGGTATGTTTGATAACTCTGTTTTGGATTTGCGTTTTTGATTTGATCTCAATGAATTGTTACGTGGTGAAAAAAAGTGAGTTCTTTTTGCAGATCTTGGACATGTTCTTGATTTTCTTGAATGTTTGATTGATCCATTGTTTTGGCAAGTTTCTTGTTTTCTTTAAAAACCTGATTAATTGGGTTAGATCCAATGATTATTGAATTTGCGTAGAAAGAGATGTGAATGTTTGACATTTAGGGTAATGGAGAACATCATTGACTTGAAAAGGACAACTTCAGGTTTCCTTAGGCAAAAAGTTATTCTAGTACCTTTGCCACGTTTAGATGAGCTTTTTAGTAAGGAAAAACAAAACAAGAAACAATACTTCAATTGGATGTCTTTTCATTAATAACATCGATTGGATAAGTTTTTTTCTTTTTTAAATTGTTCTTTCTATTGAGTTTTCTTGTGGATTATTATTGTTTTGTGATGCTCAGGTTTCTTCTGTGAAAGTTATTCGTAACAAGCTAACTAGTCAGTCAGAAGGGTATGGGTTTGTTGAGTTTCATTCACGTGCTGCAGCTGAAGAGGTACTTCAGAACTATAGTGGTTCAGTGATGCCGAATTCGGACCAGCCCTTCCGGCTAAACTGGGCGTCTTTCAGTACTGGTGAGAAAAGAGCGGTAGAAAACGGGCTAGAGCTATCGATATTTGTTGGGGATTTGTCTCCAGATGTGACTGACTCTTTATTGCAAGAGTTGTTTGTTGAGAGATATCCGTCGGTCAAAAGCGCGAAAGTTGTGATCGATTCCAACACAGGCCGGTCCAAAGGTTACGGCTTTGTTAGGTTTGGTGATGAAAACGAGAGGTCAAGGGCTTTGACAGAGATGAATGGAGCTTTCTGTTCAAACAGACAAATGCGCGTAAATATTGCAACCCCCAAAAGAGCGGTTGCTAATCCGCATCAACATTCTTCCCAAGGTAACTTATCTTCTTGATCTATAATGCTTCTCTGTGTGTTTTATGTCTACTCAGTGACTGCAACTAGTTTTACTCTCTTATTCTTTCTATTGAGTTTACTAGTTTTAAGCGAGTGGTGAGCCAGTTTTTATCCACAAGACTTTAAATTTAACAACTTTATTAGTCTTGATGCACTCNACAAAGCTTTTGATCTATAAAGTTTTATGTTTTTTCATCGAAATAGCTCTGATATTGGCTGGTGGACATGGAGCAAATGGATCCATGGGTCATGGCTCGCAGTCTGATGGCGAATCAAATAACGCAACAGTGAGTAGTCATATCTATTTGTCTGCTAGCATTACTCAAAACTCTGTTTTGCTTGGCTCTGCTTATGTTAGTTTATTCTACTGCAGATATTCGTAGGCGGCCTTGACCCTGATGTTACTGATGAAGACCTCAGAGAACCTTTTTCCCGGTTTGGCGAGGTTGTTTCAGTGAAGATCCCAGTAGGCAAAGGATGCGGATTTGTTCAATTCGCTAACAGGTGCGGTCTTAACCTAGAAGTGTGGGCTTGTTTGAGCCAACTTGTAGGTGGTTCTTTAATATCGAAAATGTGTAATCTCGAAGCGACTCGCCTTTGGTTTTGACAGGAAAGGTGCTGAAGATGCTATCGAGAGTTTGAACGGGACAGTCATTGGCAAGAACACTGTCAGGCTCTCATGGGGAAGAAGTCCAAACAAGCAGGTACATTTTTTTTTTTTTTAATTTGGAGTTAGTACATTCTAGCAGTGAGACTAAAATGAAAGTATTTTTATACGGTCAAACTTTGTTAGTAGGGAGTTTTTTATAAGCCGTTTTATGATATTAGAAACATATATAAAAACCAAAGTTAGTGGTTGACAATAGGCAAATTAGCTGGTGGAAGGAATCTAGCACCTTCCTTCGTTTTCTTTCTCTTTTGACCATGCAAGTGGGGGAATATATATCTATTTACGTGAACTCCGTGCCCAACTTGTCACCTCCATGAACATGGTCAATCAAGTGTCGACATGAATTTTTTGTTAGTCCTCACTTTATAAGAATATAAAATTGGGTTTCTTCTGCTTACAGCTTTGTCCCGATCCTCTATGAGACCATGAAATTATTGTTTCTCAAGTTGTCTTGAACTAAAACGAAACTAGAACCTAACAACAATGTAAAGCGTGTTTGATAAATGAGATTTTGTTAATGTGTTGATGATTTACTTGTGGCAGTGGAGAGGAGACTCAGGGCCGCAGTGGAATGGAGGCTACTCGCGAGGACAACAAGGTTACAACAATGGAGGATATGCTAATTATCAAGACTCCAACAACATGTATCCCACGGAGACTTGAAGAGACTCAAGTGATCATAATCAATGGTGATGAAATGCTAAACTTGTAGTCCAAATGGAGAATTTTTGTTAGATGGATTTGATTTCGATAGACTTGTTTTCGTTGTTTGGAGATTCCTAAAATTTTGGTTACTGGTTGGTCTCAAGACTTAATATAAATGCTTGTTTGGATAATTTCATTTCCGCTTAAAAACCATTACAATAAATGAAAGCCCAAAACTTTATTACTCTTCTTTTAAAACCCCTTTAGTTTTCAAACTAATTATTAAGCCCCTCTCTTTTTATTACTTTCTTCTCTTTACTCTCAACTTTTCTCTGCAGAGAAGAGAAAGGAGAGTGAAGAAGATGGAAGAAGCTTTCATGGCGATGCTCTCGCATCTGCTACATCTCCAAAACTCTTTAGACCCAACAAGCTCTGTCTTCTCTTCTTCCTCCTCCGCATCTTCACCGTCTTCCGCCACACCTTCTTCCCTCCTCTCATCTTCCTCCGCCGCTCCGTTACTCTTCTTCACTCTCGCATCTCTCCTATCTTTCCTCGCCGTCACCAGATCTTCCTCCAACTCCGGCGACTCCTCATCCTCCGCCTCTCCTTCACCTTCCCCTCCTCCGCCTCTTCCCGACGGCGATTACTCAGTCGCTGCCTTCCGTGCCCTAGCTAATGACCACATCTGGTCTCTCGATGCGCCTCTCCGCGACGCTCGTTGGCGTTCATTGTACGGACTATCGTATCCTGTCTTCACCACCGTCGTCGATAAGCTCAAACCCTTCATCACCGCCTCAAATCTCTCTCTCCCCGCAGATTACGCAGTCGCTATGGTTCTCTCTCGCCTCGCACATGGCTGCTCAGCCAAAACCCTAGCTTCTCGCTACTCCCTCGATCCATACCTAATCTCGAAGATCACGAACATGGTCACTCGACTCTTAGCGACGAAGCTATACCCAGAATTCATCAAGATCCCAGTCGGAAAACGCCGATTGATCGAAACGACTCAAGGATTCGAAGAACTCACCTCTCTCCCCAACATCTGCGGCGCCATTGACAGTACTCCCGTGAAGCTCAAACGCCGTACGAAGCTAAACCCTAGAAACATTTACGGTTGCAAGTACGGATACGAAGCTGTATTGCTTCAGGTCGTGGCTGATCATAAGAAGATCTTTTGGGATGTTTGTGTGAAAGCTCCTGGTGGAGAAGACGACTCATCTCATTTTAGAGATAGTCTTCTCTACCAGAGGCTTACTTCAGGTGACATTGTTTGGGAAAAAGTGATTAATGTTAGAGGTCACCATGTGAGACCATACATTGTTGGAGATTGGTGTTACCCTCTTCTCTCTTTTTTGATGACACCGTTTTCACCGAATGGCTCTGGTTCGCCGCCGGAGAATCTGTTCGATGGAATGCTGATGAAAGGGAGGTCAGTGGTTGTGGAAGCTATTGGATTGCTTAAGGCGAGATGGAAGATTCTTCAGAGTTTGAATGTTGGAGTTAACCATGCTCCTCAGACTATTGTGGCTTGTTGTGTGTTGCATAATCTGTGTCAGATTGCTAGAGAACCCGAGCCGGAGATTTGGAAAGATCCTGATGAAGTTGGATCTCCTGCAAGAGTTTTGGAGAGTGAGAGGCAGTTCTATTATTACGGACAGAGTTTGAGGCAAGCATTGGCTGAGGATTTGCATCAGAGGCTCTCTTCAAGATAAAAAGACATGATCAACAGTTGGAACTTCCTCTACAATGGTAATTTGTGACATTGTTATATCATGTAAGAAGCAGGTGTCTTCAAGTGTTTAGATAGCTTTGTAGTTTCGATCTTCTTGGGGAGAAAGTTTTCGGTTTTAACTTCAAGTTTGAGGATTCTGATGTGTTAAAAATCTGACTCTGTTTATGAGCTATCCCAAGTGTCAGTTCTGTGACTAGGGTTTGTTCTGTGACACATTGAGAATGGAATGTAACGACTTTTGTTGGAAATGGAATATGAATTGTGAAACTTTTCTCCTGGAAAATATTGTGATGGTCAAATGATAAGAGAAACGGATGTTCTTAATCTCTGTTCTTCCATGATCTGGAAACATTATAACTTATGCATTGTCTTTGTCTTATTATAAACTTTCCAGACCTGTTGGATTTTTTGATACTCTTCTTTTCTTTGCCGGAACTTTGTATTCATTTTTTAACACTATAAACATAGGAATGGGTCTTGAAAGCAATTCCAGTCTCCAATTCCACTCCAAGAATCACTAAAGTTCTTGACATCCATTCGCTGTTGTATGTTCTTCCTCATAACACCTGAGTTACCTTCTTCACCGTGTTTTCGCTAAAGATTGTCGAGTCGAGACACCGTGCAACAGTTTGACAAAACCTAAGAAACTCAGCTTCCCATCAGTGTGTCTGATCCAGTCATGTAGAATGGTATGGACCGGGATGGATGATCCAACACCGAGTTCCTGCAACAGATTTGTAGTGAAATGTTAGGGATTAGCAAAATCAGCGAAGAAGGACGTCTAAGTAAAGAAGGCAAACTTACAGATGCGAGTTCTTCAATGACGATAACTCGGTTTCCATTCATCTCAAAGAGCTCATAAGCATGACGAATGCTCTGCTCCCAACAATCAAGAGACTCATGCTGATGAACGCTAATGGAAGCTGCACAAAACTCTTCAAAATCCATCCCTTTGTATTGAAGTCCATTCAACTGTCATTTCCCAACACCAAACTTTTTGTTGACCAACCTTTTCTTGTATTTTAAACATATTAAGCAAAAAGCAGAGAACAAAATCGGGACTATACCAAAGCAAGAAAGTCCGGGATCCGTGATTCCTTCATTGCTTCTGTTGCATTTGTAGCAAGTGCCTGTCCAACAGAAATTGAATCTAGCTTTAAGCTGTTTGTTCTTTAACAGAGACAGAGAGGAGAGACAAGGCTCCTACCAATCTGATGCTATCCAAAGTTATGAGGCCATTTTTGTTGGGTGCTAAGAGTGCAAACTGCGCTTTCAGATATAAAAGTTCATCTGTAATTAATGTCTTGGACAGAGCCTGGAGAGAGGAGAAGAGTTAGGATCAACAATAAAATGTGGAGCAAACTAGATACGAAGGCAACACAAATCAAACACATCCTTTGATGTTCTTTGGACATTAAAACAGTAAAAAGATTACAAGAAAAACGTACCATCAAAGCAACTTTGCGCAAAGACGAAGATTTCAAATATACTTTGATCTGCCTGAAGATTAGAATATCAAATGGGATATTCATGTTCTTATGACCAGCAATCCAAGGATGCACTGGAAAAAAAGTAAAAGTAAAATTGATTGGTGATTCATGACAATAAAATAGAGAAGATAATCAAAGAAAGATTGTGGAGATGTTAGAGATGCTCACTCAAAGCTTGAGAGGCTGTCATTCTTTTACGGGGATCTTTATACAATAGCCGCTTAACAAAATCTCTTGCCTCGAAGGATAATGAAGGCCAAGGAGGTTCATCAAAACTCGGATCAGCTTTAAGAACTGCTCTGAAAATTCCTGATTCAGTTCTTGCCCAAAAAGGACGGCTTCCACATAGGAGAATGTATGCTATTACTCCTATGCTCCATACATCCGCCTCTGTGGTATAAGATCGGTGTAGAACTTCAGGGGCTACGTAATATGCACTTCCCACTATATCATTTAGTCTTTCGTCTGGTCTGACAAAGTCCGATAAGCCAAAATCTATGACTTTCAACTGAGAATTCTCCTCCTTGGAAGTGTACAAGAAGTTCTGATACATGAAAGTGTTTCAATCTTAAGACTGGTATCAAATAAGGGGACGTTTCAAACTAAGAGTAGATGTTTCTTTCGAGTTTTGAAGGAAAAAAAAAAGACGAAAAATGTTGTTCACCTCTGGTTTTAGATCTCGATGAACAACTCCTTGGAGATGACAGAAAGCTACAACGTTAAGGATCTGAATAAGTACTGCTTTTGCATCCTCTTCAGAGTATTTCCCTCCCCTGAAAGAGAAGATGAATATGAAATAATTAGACAGGCAGTCAAACATCTCTAATAGGCATCTTTAATTAGTAGCAGACCTTGCTAGTATTCTGTCAAGAAGTTCACCACCTCCACATAACCTGAAAGTTCGAAGAAAGTAAATGTAGAACATTTTGAAGTAAGAAAAGTCAAGAAAATAAGAATCTGATAGATTCCTTAGTAGATTATTTTCCTGAATATATAATTAAAATCTAGTTGATTCAACATCACACAGGGATATAAAAGCACACGATATGTGTCGTGATAAAACGGGTTTCTTACTCCATAACGATGTAGACATTGGCATTATCCTCAAACGCATCATAGAACTGTACTAGATTGTTATGTCCAGATAACGCCTGCAGGATTTTCACTTCCCTTCTCACATCCTCTATAGATATTGCAGTTGTCATCTGCTAAATCGAAACTGATGAGCAACAGTCTATAATCAACTAAGCTAACATATAACTCAACACAGCCTCTTTCACCCATTTGAATATATGCCTATGTTCTTATCCGAATCTAACCAACTGGACTGCGTTATACAAAGTCGTATGGTTAACCTTCTAAGTCATCAAATAAGGACCATTGAAATTTCATTTGGTTAATGACATGAGGCAAAAAGTGTCCATGTTTCGAATTTATTGACCAATTTAAAACGTGTACAAAATTTTCACAGAAAAAGTCAGCAAAGCTAACATCTACAACCATTGAAAAACTTGGCTTCTGACAAACATGGATGCAATATTAATCGTTTCTAATATTTTTTAATCTTTTCTAATAATTTCTAAGCAGAAAAGTCTACACGCCATTTATTTTCCAACAAAGATGGCTCAAACAAGAGGGCAGTAAGTTCATAGAGAAGAAAAAGAAACATCAGTACAACGAACTGATGGTTCCTTATTGTAAATCTCTTCTACTTGCAACCATAAGCTATTACCTTGAGAAACAGTGTAAACATCTGATAACCAAAATCAGACAAGAGACACACAAATCTGTAATTT